ATCAGAAACTAGATTGTTCTCAAGTCTGCCTAGGGTCATAGTGGAATTGTAGATTGGATTGGCTTTGTTTATCTTGAGGCCAAAGTAAGAGGAAATGGTCTTAAATAGCAGGAGGAATTTGGAAGAAAGTTACGAATAATTTTCTGGCTAATTTATTCAATGGATAAAGGGCAGAAACATGTTAACTTTGGTGATGGGGTTGACAGTATAACAAGAGGGAGGTTGGCTGACGAAAGATGGAAGTAGCAAAAGATACAAGGAGGAGTACAAGAGTTAAAGTGAATCAAGGTAACTACAGTTAACTGATGATACAAGGAGGGGATTGCAGTCATTTTAATGAATTTGCTGAATGTAAAACTGATGATCTACTCTGTTCAACCTTCACTCAATTCACAAAAAAAAGTTTAAAAATCGATAATAATGATGAAATACCAGTGGCATAAATTTCAGCAGCATCACAGCAACATGCAAGCCACCACAGTATGACAAACTGACAGATAAGTGGTGGGCTTCTGTTAACTCTCAGGGAATTCAGTTAATTTCCCCTCAGTTAACTGAACTTGAAGGGAGGGACTTGAAAACAATCCGGTCAAGACCATCCAAACACCTCTTTATTCTGGAAACTGATTGGGTGCCCAGATAATACCCCACCTTCCCTCCTCACCTGTTTAGAGATCATTTGGGATCAGTAAGCCTGGAGTGGCTATTCTCTTAGTTGTAACATGGAACCCTCCCTTCACACAGTAACCCTGCTTTCTGTCCTTTCTTTAGCGGTTTGCTGTGTTTCCAAGAAAGGTGCTGACCACACTACTGCTCCCTCTGCAGATGGAGATGGTAAGTGAGTCTGCAGCCTGGCCCTTATAGGTCTGCTCTGAGCTCTGAAGTATTCTTTCTATAACAAGGTCAGTTCCTCTAGAAACTCATTTGCTAGTAGTCTGTGAGGATGGGACACCATACATGGAGCTGTAATCTCTACTGGTCTACTTGGTACCTTCTTCCCATCGACTCACAGCCCAGAGCCTTTGCACTGGCTGTTTCCTCTGTCTAGAATGATTTTTCTCCCCACTGTATTCTTGGTCTGTTTGCTTGCTTGCTTCATGTCATCTCCTCTGAAAAGTTTCCCATGAACAACTTTTCTAAAGTAGCAATCCCAATGACTGTATTCTTTCTCTGCTTTATTTTTTCTTCATAATGCATATTACTATCAGGCAATTTAAATTATTCCCACCCGGGAGATCTCGTGTTTCTCACTGTTGATTCTCACATGTTTGATTTAGATACATTTCTAAAATATCTTCCCTGGGCAAAAAATCATCCTGTATCTTTTCATGGGAGAGTCCAGTACAACTGAGGCCCCAGACAGCCCAGGATCCTCTGTTTTGTTCTTTGGGCTTCTGCCAAAACAGAATCCTCTGTTTTCGAGGATGAAGCCTTACCATTTTGCTCTCTGCTTCCAGATGAAGAGATGATGGCCACAGAGGTAGCACCCTCAGCCATGGCGGAGCTTACAGACTTGGGCAAATGTCTGATGAAGCATGAGGTGGGTAGAGGGAGCAAGTGCTGCCTGTTGTTCATGCCCAGCTAGGCAGTCAGCATTCATTTTTCTGACTCAGTTAGAAGAGTTTGTTAGCATTTCTCCATATGAGATAAGTTCCTGCTTCCTAAAGCCTTCAGAAAATAAAGGGAAATGCAAAGGTCATGCCCCTTTAAGGAAAGACTCAACACAAACACAAGTACTCAGCCCAGTCCCATGTGCTGCTGGTTAACCTCACCCAAGCCCTGCCCTTTCCTCCTTCCTATACATACTTTTACTGGTTTATTTGCTTGGTTCTTCTCCTCCTTTTACTGCCTAATCTTCAGAAATAGAGGAAGTAAACACACTCGTCAGTAGCTGCCATTATCATTTTTCTGCTTGCCTAGTAAAACTCAGCTCCTGATATATAAGAACAGAACAGGGTGTGCTTATTTTCCCATTGTAATCCTTCATCCTTTTCTTGTTCAGGATGTCTGTACGGCTCTATTAATTACAGCCTTCAATTCCCTGGCCTGGAAGGATACTCTGTCTTGCCAGCGGACAACCACACAACTCTGCTGGCCTCTCCTCAAACAAGTATGCTATTCATCCCTCCCCCCATCCCTCAGAAAAGACTTGGTCATGAGAACTGACTGCATCAGAAGAACTGGGGTGTTTGTGTTCTGTCTTGAGTTTCCTTTGTCCCTGATGACAGCTGTCTCCGCAGGTACTGTCAGGGACATTGCTCGCAGATGCAGTGACGTGGCTTTTCACCAGCGTACTGAAGGGCTTACAGACACACGGGCAGCACGATGGGTGCATGGCTTCCCTAGTCCACCTGGCCTTCCAGATATACGAGGCGCTGGTGAGTGGAGAAAGCATGGAGGCAGGATGGCTGTGGCTTCGTCCTTCAGGACTTACTCCTAATCAGTTGGGCCTTGTCCTAAATTTTGGTATCTGCCAAGTTGCTAGTACTGCCTCTGAGTTTGGTGTGGCAGGGAATGGAGAACTTTGGCAGAACCCACATCTACATTATTGAGTAAGTTTATTCCCTGTCAGCGCCCCCGGTACCTGGAGATTAGAGCTGTGATGGAACAGATCCCTGAAATACAGAAGGACTCTCTGGACCAGTTTGACTGCAAGCTTTTGAACCCCTCCCTACAGAAAGTGGCTGACAAGCGCCGAAAGGACCAATTCAAGCGCCTCATTGCTGGCTGCATCGGGGTAAGCCATCCCTTTACTAGTGCTCCTAATTGCCCTGTGGTCTTCAATAGCCTGTGATGCATGGGCAGACCAGATATCAACTGCAATCATTGACCATTATGGCAGAATGATCTTTGAAAACAGCTGAACTATTCACATTTGTTTTCCACAGAAGCCCTTGGGAGAGCAGTTCCGAAAAGAAGTTCACATTAAGAATCTCCCGTCACTTTTCAAAAAAACAAAACCAATGTTGGAGACAGATGTGCTGGAAAATGAGGAAGGTGTCCTGGCCACCATCTTTGAACCCTGAATCAAGCTTTTGGGCATCTTTCCTTGGCCTTTCTTGTCATCTCTTCTTCCCCTTCTTAGCTCTACTCTCTAGGCCCCTCTCCGCTGCCACCTTGCTTCCCCATTGTCAGCCTGGAGAGAGATCTGGATCCAGGTCTGGAGCTGGAGAGAGAGCCCTCCTGTGCAGGGCCAGAAGTAATTGTACTGAAGTATCAGAAAAGGGAGTTAGGGCTTCTACCATTCTGTCTAGATCTCCTCAGTGTCTCTCATCCTACTTGGAGTTTTGGCTTTTCCAAGAAAGAAAAGCTAGAGCAGAGCAGCCTTCTCCCCAAGCCCTCCAACCTGTGCAGAATGGTGACTAGGGCGGCTGTACCCTCCTCATTGCAACTAGCTGGGCTTGCAGCAGGGATTCAGTCCTCAACTGCTAGTGTCAGTTTGTCCTAGACAGTGGTCCCCACTGAGCTTGCATAGTGAGGCGTGTTTGGGTTAGTTGTTACTCACTAAATGGAATTTGGCCAGTTTCCTTATTCTAAACAAGTATCTGGTCATCTAGTGGGATCCATGGTATAGCTGACTGCTTAGCTCTGGGCACAGGACCAACTGTGGCACCTCAAGGAGCAGAGGTGGGCTAGGGATTGGTGCTCTCAAGCTTCCTTCCCTTGGAGCTCACACATCTTGTCATTCATGAATGATCCCTCAGTGTGGTTTCTCCAGCCCTAGCATCCACTCAGGCATAAAGAGCCACAGTACCCTATCTAATGACACACAACGCCATTGGCATCCAAGGATGATCCAAACCAACTACGCTACACCTAAGACAAGTAGCTAGCAAAACCACAGGTCTCTCCTAGACGAGTCCAGGTGCCTTCAAAAATCTCATGGTCTTTCAGGTCCCTGGTCATTTCTCCCATGGGGCATTTCCCTAAGAAAAGAACATAAAGAAAATATGCCTTCCCAACACAACCTGTTCCGTGAGTCTCCAGTCCATTCGAGAGGTCAGTGAAAGGCCTGTAAGCAGAGGAAAAGTGGATACTAGAAAGATCCTAGACCTGAGGTCATTTCTGACCCAACATAAGTGCTCTTCACCAAGACAGCTATCATCAACCTGATCCACTGGCAAGAGGGCTGCAAATGAGGGCTGAGTGGGTTGAGGCTATGCTTTTAGCTGGTGCAGGCCCACAGCCAAGCTGGGGAAGCAGGATTTGGGGGTCTCATGTTGCCATCTCTCCCCTCTCTTCCCAGCTGGTGCTTCGGGTGTTCCTCTGGTGAGTGTGAAGGTGATCTCATGGTGTACTTCCTCCAAAACCAATAGCTGCCTACTCTGGGAGGGGCTGTGGAGGGCACAGTTGTATTTATTGTGTTGTAATATTTTTAACATCCTGTGACTTCATGCTAGAAGTTTTCTATTGTTTATAGAGTCGTTTTGTAGAAACATTAACTCTAAAGCACATCTGCATGTCAGTAAAAATCTCAATTTTATACAGAAAGGGCCCCATCTGCCTTATTTACACACCAGCTACATCCTTCAGGGTCTTCACTACTCATAAGCATCCTGCCAGAGACTAGACAGGAGGGATGATTTGCCTCTTTGATATAAACTCTAAGAAAGTGTTACTTCCTACCATTCTCATCGTGTGTTTGTGTCTGCTGGACCTGACGCCCTAGTCTCCTCATGTGTAGATAGATATCAATAGCTAAGTGACAGACCCATCCTGGGGTCTCTCTGGATCAAAAAATCAAGTCTGACAAAAGGAAGCTTTTGACAGTTTATTTACATGAAAGACCTTACAAAGGCTTATGAAAGCCACAATCCATGGCACATTTAACAAATGTATTTATTGATTGAGAATAAAGCTAGAGCTGTCCTGCAAAACTCAGGACACTTAGTCACAATTAGTACAACAGTCCTATGGGTGTATGTCAGAACCTAAAATCTTCAGCTTGCCTGAAAGGAATGTCCAGGCCAGCCATCCCAGTCAAGTTTCTGGTGCAGACCTTAGTCCATCTGAACTGCGTCTAATTCATCCAAGAACCGCCGGCACTTTCCCATCAGAACTTTAATGGCTTCACTCACCAGTACATCTGGTGGCAATACACCTGTGGATTCAACAGAGACTGGGGACCACAGAGATACTTTAGTCCTGGTGTAGGGGCTTGCCCGTGTAAACTATTGCTAAGTTTCCACACCACACCTGAAGCAAGAGGCTTCATCAGAATCTCCCTATCCTCTTTACCTGAGCAGTCCAAAATACTCACAAATATAATGATCCCGAACCCGGGCCAGCCGAACGACCTTCTTCAGCTTCTCGTTTCGGAAAATTTCTCTGCTAAAGGTGTCCAGCCGGGGATTGGCAACTCTGGCCACCTTTTTACCTATTGAAAATAAGCCATGTGGTACTATCTACCAAAGTCCAGAGCTTTTATTGACCTCTTCAAAGAAAATACCCATCAGGCCCTGACCTGGACAGCACTCCAAATACCATACCTTGGACTTGCTGCACCTCAATAACACCAGGTGAGAAGCACTGCCGCAGCTCCTCGGCTGCCTCTCCTTCCACTGGCTCGGACAGGGTGATGTCCGGCAGGAGCCTGTAACTGGCTGTGGCCACAGGGGAAAACTTGGCATGATCTTTGCCTAGAGGGGAGCAGGAAACAACCAGTGGGAAACCCTTCTCCTAAGCCACGTAAGGAAAAGTAACACACACACACACACACACGTCCATTGGCTTTGTTGAGTCAGGACATCTCAGCCAAGTTCCTTGGTCACCTGGCCCCACTGCAATCAAACTACCTTGCTGCCCAGAGCAGCCCACTGGGTTCTCACCAATGCCTTTAACGCAGTGCATGAGCAGGTCAATCTCCTGGCCAGGCCGCAGCTGTGCAATGAGGATATCATCATGCACCGGGCGGACAGTGCCCTCTGGAAAGACATCAGCCTGGTTCCCCAGGGGCACCCATGTCATGTGCCTGGTATAGACTGGAGGACGAAACGTGTTGTTAGAATTCAGCTCCTAAAACTAAAACCAACCTTGCCACCCTGCCTCCCTCCACCACAGCACGCAAGCTCCCACACCTAGCACCGCTCACCTTTGTGGTTCACATAGAGTTCATTGGGGTCAGAGGAATCTTTAGACGCTTGGGGGTTCCGAGTACACTTGACTTGTAGCCGGAACTGCAGAGTATCTATTTCCGTGCCTTCTTCATCTTCTATACAAATGCAAGACGAGAGAACTGGTGAACACATGAGTGCCAGGCACTCTGCTGTGAGCTTTACATGCATTTCTTATTTAATCTTGACAAATTTAGGAATCAGATGGAAAACACACCAAAAGATCAACTTTCCCAAGTTCAAATGCAAGTTTTGAACCCAGGTAATTTGATTCCAGAGTTTTTAGAGAGCCGACTTCTCTTTCCCCCAAAATTTTATTTTCCCAAATCCTCACCTTGATTCCGATATTCAAAAAGACGGGGATCTGCATGAATGGGAATAAGCCCCAACCGATGAGCAAGGATCTCATCCTGGACAATGGATGTGTTGTTGTACACCAGGACCTTTTCCACAGCCATGGTTGGCACCTGCCCAACAAAAGGAAATTACCCATCTGCAAAGACCCAACAGGCTCTTCACTTCCCATCCCTTCACAAGGAGAGAGCTCTTCAGAAAATGCGTGATAAAAAAGCGTACAAAAAATGGACAGAAGTAAAAGCAATGCACAGCAAATTTGTAGGAAAAACAAGGGGATCATCTTGAGGTTCTAAAATTGAATCAATAGCCTGGTTCTCCACCCAAACCCACCCTGACCACCATGCCTTCCCATCAATACCTCAGCTAACAGAATGCGTCGGAAAGCATTGGCGATGGCTGCATCAATTCCCACCATATCAAACTCCAATGAGTTTTCATCCATGTGTACCACATCCACACGGAAATTCTAGAGGGATAGGAAAACACTGAGGCCTGTTCTCTGCACCGTCAATCTATCCCCACACCCCTACCCACAGGACATTTTCCTTACCATCCTCTAGGGTAAAAATCTCCCCTGTGCCCAGATGTTCTCCACCAATCCTTCCTTAGTATCTTCCCATTCATCAAAAACTCAGTAGTGGCTTCAGTCAAACCACCTCATGGAGGCCATGTATTACACGACAGGAGCTTCATACTCCTTAGTCTAAAGGACACAACTCCACTCTTACTGGAATCTCCTACTACATTTGGGATTTTTAAATAAAAGCCTTCCTTTTCAAAACTCTGCTCCCTTGGTTCTGAGTACCAGTCTCCTAATTCTCTAGTGATTTCTTCCAAATTCAGTCCTTCCACTTGTTACCTAAATGCTATTTCTCAGGTTCTTGTCTCTCTCTTGGATGATCACAACCAAACATGGTTCTAGCAACTATAAATAATAAATGTACTGACAAGTTTCAAAATTATGTCTCACTTTTTATCCCATTTCAAGCATAAGATTAAGTAAAAAAAAAATAAAAATAAAGAATCATAGAAGCCTTTATTAAAAAATACCAAATGTGACTTACTGTTTCTTCACACATCCTCCATCTAGGTCTATACACTTTTGAAAGCAGTGTTTCCACCTCTATGTGGCGCTGTAGGATAAGTATTAGACTGCAAGGTTGGGTTGAACCACAAGGCTGGCAGTTCAAAGTCTACCAGATGCTCCCCGAAAACCCTATAATGGGTTTCTACGAGTCGGAACCTACTTGACAGCACTAAACAGCCCATGGGTGAGGAATTTATTTTCAGTCAAAATTTATAACATCATTCACAGGCCATACAAAATTATCAAATAAAAATTAACCTGCTATATATGGTCAAACATTTAATTAACTCACCCCTAGTACAGAATCCTGCATAGCTGTTTGAACTGCAAGGTCGGCGGTTCAAACTCATCAGTTGCTCCTCAGAAACCCTATACAGGGTCGCTATGGGTCGGAATTGATGCAGCAGCACTTCACAACAACAACTAATGTAGAATCCTGGTGTGGTGCAATAGGATAAAGCACTGAACCACAAGGTCGATTTGAACCACAGTTTGTGGTTCACTCCACCAGCAGCTCCTTGGAAACCCTATACAGGATCACTATCCATCAGCACTGACTCAATGGCACTTAACAATGTGTAATCCTGGGGTGGTCAATGTACTGGACTGCAAAGTAGGTTTGAACCGCAAGGTTGGCAGTTCAAGCTCACCAGCCACTCCTTAGAAATCCTACACAGGGCCGCTATGAGTCAGAACTGCTTGACAGCACTTAACAAATGTGGAATAAGGAGCTCTGTAGTTACGAGTTGACTAATAATCTCATGATCAGCAGTTCAAAACTATCACAGGATAAAGATGAGGCTTTCTACTGTAAAGATTTACAGCCTCGGAAACCCTATACAGCGTTGCTATAAGTTGGAACCGACTCCCCTGCACATAACTACCACCACCACCGTGGGATAAAGCACTGGACCACAAGGTTAGTTTACCAAGTTTACCAGCTGTTCCTTTGAAACCCTATACAGGGTCACTATGAGTCAGAACTGACTCAAAGGCACTTAATGTGATGGCTGGAACTGCAGTTGACTTGGCAGGGCCAGACCAAATAATTTTGTTAGCCCATCCCTTCCATGAAGAATTCTTATGCACTTCAATTTACATCACATGAAATCAGCATTTTGGCATTCTCAAGGAACTCGTATTGTGTTCCTTTTAAACGTTCTTTCAGTTTGGGGAATCAAAAGATGTTTGAAGGGGCAGGGCTGTAGGGTGGATGGGGTACGGTTCTGCAATGGAATTCTGCTAGGACAGTCCTTGCTCCCCTCAAAGAATGAACAGGTACATTATGATGTTGTTGTGAAATGCCATCAAGTTGGTTCCAACCCATAGCGAGGACCCTGTATAGGGTTTCCAAGGAGCAGTTGGTGAGTTTGAACCACCGATCTTGCAATTCAAATGGCTTTGCAGTCCGGCGCATTATGATGG